AGCATACAATCAAATCTGCGTAACGTATTTAATTAATCAAACGGTAAATCGATCAAACGGTATATTTTTTTTAAAGAAATTCCATTTACGTAGGTAAAAAAAAAAAAAAAAATTTTTTTTTTTGGGTCACTCCACAAAAATGAAAGCCAAAAGCGATAGATCTGTTAATTTAATTATTTTTGACGGTCGCAATTTTTGAGAGGTATCATATATAATTTTTTTTGCATATCACCAAGTAGAACGCGGTACCGCTTCACTCTCTCAGCTGGGTTACTCAACATGATTTTTACAGTAACTCGGTTTATTTTAAATTCTTGAAACTTTTTTTAAAATCGTAAAATTATCGGTCAATCGTTCTTTAAACACCGATCCATTTACATTGGTTCTTTGTTGGTTAGTAAGTTTTTCGCGATTCATATTTAATGCATAATTCTAAATTATCACATTTTAACTCAGTGAATATTGACTCAGAGAAAACTCGGAAACAGTTTTTTTTTACGGCGTGAAAAAAAAATTTTTTTTTAGTACTTGTTAATCTTTACCAAATTAAAAAGGTTGATATTTCCCCAGAATCTTATAGAGTCACATTCAATTTTAGATTAGAACGGAAAGGCTGTGTTCATCACAAGAATTTAAGTATGAGGCGGAGTGCTTACAAATTTTCTTTTTATATAAAATATTATATGATTTATATGAAATTTTGATCGAAATTTGTTTGGTTAATTCAGATTTCTTTGATTCCTTAGATTTCTTAGATCTCAGATTTCTCAGATTTCTTAGAGGCTGGTGGTTGTAAGATGTTTTGGGATAACAGATACTGTAACAGATGCTGTAACTGATGATATGTTTGATAAGAATTAGTGTAATTATTACATATAATGTAGTAATATATACAATTTATATCTGATATATATACTATAATTTAACATTTTATATCAAAGATCAAAAAGATGCACTAGACATATTAAACACGCGTAGTCACGCTTCTTTGTTAAAAACAGTTATGCACACGTGACCAACTCAACCCCATCGCATAATTTGTCATCCAATTGGGATCACAAAAAGAGCCTTGTCTACTAATCATGGATTTTCATTGCAATGAATCGTGAAACAAAAAGACATACAACATTTTTTAAATAATAAAAAATTACAATAATCAAACATGATAACAGAAAAATAGTAAAATCGCGTTAAGAGAAAAAACGTGATACTGTATAGTAAAAGAATGCAATGCATTTTATTTTAGAATATATTAGAATACATTAGAATATATTAGAATATATTAGAATACATTAGAATATATTAGAATATATGGATCTAATTCAATAACAAAATATCAGATAACTTATATCAGATATTGCGTAAAAAAAAGCAGATACAGTAACAGGTAACAAAGAAAAACCAATCATTGTTCAAACGATGAGGTTCCCGATTGGAGAAAATATACATTTTTGATGAATTCTAAAAAGGCAAAGAAATAATTTAACTTATTTTGATATTTTGTTCATACGAAACAATTTAGAACAAAAAAAGTTCCCACATATCCTTGCATTATTCTTGCATTTAACATGCATTTATTCATAGGTTACATTGATTAGGTGACCGATTACGCACCTTTTTGATTAGACTGTTTGGTTCATTTTTGAAAAGTTAAAACTTTCCCCGCGTATTCCGCATGGAAATTTATCTCAATGGTAAATTAATTTATTATAATTAGTATTATTATTATTATTATTTTTAAATTTATATACAGTATACTTATACTACAGTATACAGTATACAATATATAGTATACAGTATACTGTTTATATACAAATACACAAAATAAAAAATTTTATATATTGTTTTCACAACTCCAAATATATCATTTACGAGTGTGAAATTAACACAAGAAAGAAAAATCACGCGAATTGGTCTTGCCTTATTTTGTTTACTTATAGATTGAACATGCATAACTAATGCATAAATCACATTATCATTATTTTTAGTGTTGCGCAAAGTTTTTTCTTTAATGCAATCGGCTGATGTAAATGCGAATAAATTGAGTAGTGAACCGAAGGGTACACGCGCTAAATTTTCATGACTCACATACAATTTCGTATGTACACGCATTGAAGCATTGAAGCACTGAAGCATTGAACCTATGAAAAAGAAAAACAATAGAAATTCACGAACCTTAAATGCTAAATCTTAATGATACTAACGGATGTACGCGTGTGATACGAATGAAAAGTAAGATAATAAGCGGATGTGCTTAATTTAAACAAAATCAACGTTCATTCAAGTGGCAAAGATTTTCCAAAATTGGTTCAATAATTTTAAAGTTGTAGTTGACATCACTTCAACTTGTATGGTAAAATTTCTTGAGTTGTGGAACGTGCACGTCACGTGCAGTCTAAAAATTCTTTTAATGCATTTTATTGGTGGTAGGGTTTACTTAAATCCGATAGTCAGTTTATTTAACTGTTTAAATGTGGAGTACGTACGTACGCACAGTACATACCTGATACGTACGTACATACGTACGTACGTAATAACAGATAAGTGCCTAGCAGTTAATGTCAGTTTAAGTGTATTACAATGAAAATAGAACATGTGATGAGGGTTTGAATTTGACGCACTTTTTAGTAAGGAAAAAGATTTCATTTATTGTATAATGTATTATATACGTAAAATATATTATAGTTACAGTATACATAACAGATAATAACAGATAATAACAGATAATAACAGATAATAACAGATAATATATTACTATACTAGGTATTTAATGACAAAATGTTGATACGAGAATCAACTACGTATCAACTATCAACTGAGCAGTTATACTTCTTAAATTTCGGATAATTTTAAAAAATTAATTTTGATTAACTAATCATCATTGTCATATAATACGTAAAAATGTTTAAATGCTATGACCAATTGTTACATAATCTGTTCTATGTGCTTACCCATCTTAAACAAATAACGAATCTAAGATAATTTGATACTTGTTTCTTAATAGTCCTGATTTACAGTAAGTATTCCGATTTTATCGTGTACAAATTCAAGATTTAATTCTAAATATGGTTTTGATCAATTATTTGTTATCGTTTATTTAATTTACTAATGTTTACTCGATTTTTCTTTTCTGGATTTCCGCTCCTTCCTTTAAACGGTTTTTTTGTGAAATTCCTATCTAATTTTGGGTTTAATTCTAAAATTCCGTACTCTTCGTATTCTTTTCTTACTCTTTTTCAGCTTCTTTTCATATTATTTTTGTACTATTTTCTTACTTTTTTCGTACTCTATTCGTACTTTTTACTTACTTTATTCGTACCTTTCGTAATCTTTTCGTACTCTTTTTCATACATAATTTAAAACACTAATCATCATTTAATAAAAAAAATGACAGTCATTCGTGCATGTGTACAAAGTAATAATTTTTTAAATATTTGAAATATAAATTGAAATATAATCGAAATAATTGAAATACTATAAAAAATTTGAATCATGAGAATTCATTCATTTATTCCATCCCACTTTTTTCTTTCTTCTTTATTCGTTCAACACAACATATTCAATATATATTCAATACATTCTATTTCATTTAAGATATTTTTTTTTCATTACATTAATTTGTAACGACATTTCTTTTTAAGGAGTACAGTGAGTATTTTTATTCTCTCTTCGACCCTGAATTTTTCGAACCTAAAATTGGTATAGTTTAGGTAATTATTATTTATGGTTTATTTATGATTTCTCATTGATTACTTGATACGATTTGTAACCAATTTATACACAGTTTTATGCGGATGGATCCGAATGTGCATGTTTATTTGTAAAATTTCCCAATCCCAAAATCTTTTTTCGTATGTTTTGCTAATTAATTTTCTCAAATAAATATTAATGTGTGTTATTTAATTTTATACATTTGTTACGTAAATTTTTTGATCACTCGCAACTGATCGAACATGTGCTCTTGTTCGTGTGATTTTCTTTTACACAATTTTTTTTTTACCACCTTTTTCCTTAATTTTTGCTATTGGTCCTTTTTTTTCCATCTTGTAATCAGTTTGCTAAAATTATTTTATTATTTAAACCTAAATAATATTACGTTTACTTTCTTTGTCCCAGTGCCAGTGTGTGATTTTACCTAAACTATGAACCAATTACAGAGAATTATAGTAATTTCTAAATTAGGATAAACGCATTTTAAATACGGAGTAATTGTAATGCTAATATTATCATACTGTACACAATCATGTGATTATCTCCATCAATCAGGGATGCATTGTTAAATATTAAAGATGCATTGCTAATACAGTAATGGAGGTCAGGTTTATTACTTCATCAGCATTCATCATTGGATGCATAATGATTAAACTACAAAAAGAAAACAAACACGAATCTAAAGAAACAATATTCAATCAGTTGAACACGTATTCGTGACAAGAATATACACGTGTATAATGGCAATTAAAATGTTGGCTTAAATCGATTCGCTATAATCTCAACTATGTTTAAAATCTTATTTTTGGGAAAGGTAAAACCTCAAGTTGAAAAATATAATCATTTAATCAAACATCAATGTTATTATTGAATGTAATGACTAAAAACAATGTCAAGTCGGGCTAAAAGAAAAAAAAATTGCAGCGACATACTACTATATATTTTAGTGTATATAAAGGTTTTCTCAAACAACACCCTCAATGTGATCAGTTAATGATCGAAATGGTAACTCATTTGGTTAGTTTATTCAATTTTCGACTAATTAAAATTAAATTTTCTGTTAAGTGAACACCCTAAATCTGTTCAAAAAAAAAAGATCTCTTTCCCTGCAAAAAAAATACTGTAAAGTCGGAAGTACTTGTAGAAGAAGAACAGGGCAAGAGTACTAGCATATATCAAGTAAATTTCTTTTTATTAATTTATTTATGTCCGAATCATTATTACGGGTCGGCGAATATGATTTTAGCAGGCAGGAATAATAATTCAACAGAGATTAGAGATTTTAGATTTTAGTCTGAAGAATCGCTGGAAAAATCATCAGATAATTCAATATCTGCGATTTTTCGTCGGTTTTCTTCTTTTGCCATCGTTCTAGCTTGATGTCGTGCAACTTTAGCCATACGAAAATTACGTCGAACCTATTTTATTATAAAACGTGCTCAGAAATGTTGGAAATACTGAAATGATGCCGTATTAATTATTAATTACAGAATTATCAAATTGAAAAAAATGTGTACCTGGTTAGGTGAAACAAATTCTGGATTTGCATATATAGTAGCACCACAAAAACTGCCCTCGAATATTCTAATGACGTTAAGAACAAATCGCGGTCCTATCTCTACAAGTGATAAATCTTTATCATCTGGTTTTTTATTGGGTTCCATCGGATCTTTTTCGATTATCTATTTTGAAGATCACTTATGTAGTCAAATAATAAAATCTTCAATAATTTCAGATTCTTAACCTTTATTTAATAATACCTGAAAATTACGAAACCATATACGATTATCGGCAATTGTAAAGGAAATTACATGATCAATAAAGGGTTTTATTCGACGAGCACTCTTTGGAACACCGAAAATCTGAAAATAATAATATGTATATATATAAATATAATTCTATCAAGATGATAAGATGATTTATGGTGAATTTTGGATAATTTTAGAGAATTTTAGAGTAATAAAGATTTAATACGTGAATAAAAACTTCTTTAATTAATGCCCAATGAGGTTCTGAATCAAAGGTCTTATCAAAAGAGAGAATCGGACGGGATCCTTTGAGACAATTGCCCGTCATCTTGAGCTCATCCATCGTGTGAACTATACATTATACCGTTGATTTTTATTAGCTACAGAATGTTAAGTGGAATCTAGAACCAACGACTTACTGTTTAGGACATGAAATTTAATGCTTGGACCATTAGGGGTTTTACTTGTCCACATATAGAGATCTTGACGTTTTCGTACCTCGAAAAAGATGCAATTATTACAATTATTAAGTTCTGCCAGTTCATTAATGATTCCAAGTTTACACTTTTGATCGAGTTTAGAGTCTAGTCAAAATATAAAGTATAAATTATTATATATTCAGGATATATATATTCAAGATATATTAAGATATACTAAGATATTAAGTAGACTATACCTTTCTTAAAATGAGGCAAGAGAGCACGAAGGTCATTTAATAAGTGTCTCTGTCTAAAGCCAGAATAAGTCCAGCAACTTTACTGAGATAGAAGACCAAAATTTGACGCTTACCTATAATTTACTCCTCGTGAAGACAAGGCAAGAACTCTCTGTCTGTTCTTGGAAACTTTCTTTTCTTCATGATCGTCACTATCTTCATCCTTTTGAGCTTTAGCTAATTTATATAATGTAGCCATCGAGGTCCAGTTTTAAAAAAGCATACAAGACTTTGTCGATTATCAAAATCTCCCCCGAAAATCTCCTGATTTTTTTTTTTCTCCTACCTGTGACTAGTCTGTGGCTATAATTTTATAACGCGTGAATTTCTATTGGTCGATTTCAAAATCATGTGATACCGCATTCGGCAATTTTTGCCACATGCGAACGATAGTCAGATGCTTTATTTGGCTGGCACACTCAAATAATACATCTAAATTTCTCAACCAACTGAATGGTATATTACTTTTTTTACTCTTTTTCTTATTTTTTTTTCTCATTTGTAAATCTGTTGCGATATACTTTTCTCTTGAATAGCTTTTGAATTACACGACAAAAGACAACATGTCGTCTCGAGAACAAGATTTTGATAGGAAGTTATATGAATTGCTTGAAAGAAAACCACCTGGAATAAGTGCCTCTAAAATAAAAGACTTGACGAGAATAGCAATGACTAGTCCAAAGGTGAGATGAGTAAAGTTAAGCGAGAGATTAGTTTTCTAGAAAGCTCACTCCATCTGTGGGTTCAAGAGATATAAGTTTATAGATACCTTTTAAAGAAAAAATTAGCGAGGGGTTAAACTTGTTCTTTATTGGTTGAGTAAAGGGAAAATCCGCAGTTAAACATCTTTAACATAAAACAAAAAAAAAAAAAAAAACGTAGAGAGATATTATCTTTTGGTTGGATCGATGATATTTTCAAAAATAAAATCCTCTTTTTATTGAATATAAAAAAAATCAACCATTTCATATTATTTAATTTTTTTTTTAAAACTAAACTAAAAAATTATTTATATTTATGTCTAAAGTGGGCCAGTTAATACATCGATTGTGAAAAAAATAAATTTTGCAAATCACTAAATGTCTTTTTTGCTCTCGATATTTTTAATTATCGCTGAAATTTTCAGCAATATAAAAACATAGTACACAGCGTACAGAAATTCATTCAAAGATGTTCGGCCGATTACAAGTTAGGAGCATTATATGTATTGGATTCAATATCACAAGCGGCACAGAGACAAAAGACATTGGTTGCAGAAAAAGATAGCGATGGTTCTGTTTGGTCAGGAGCTGAATATCTTGAAAGGTTTGAGAAAATATTGGAAGAAATGTTCTTACACATTATGCAATGTCCAGAACACGATAAGGTACGAATCACGTGATAAACATTTTTCTTTCTCGTAATAACCAAGGGATAAGTTTGATTGTTATGTAGTGATGCTATAGGTACAATAATAATTTTAATTTACACGACACATTACGCCGATCGCCGTATATTTATATAACCATCTTCATATGATTAAAAAAAAGTTACAAGATTACATACGTAACAGCAACAATTGATCTAAAAAAAAACATAATACATAGATTTATACCTTATATTAGATTATTATTATTATTATTATTTTCTTTTATACAGTAATTAATCTTATATATATTTGCATAGCTTCCCTTGGTTTACGCTGTGGGGCTGTTCGATTGTGTTATAATTCATGTATTAATTAAAAACTCATATAAAAATACAGGAAAAAGTGAAACGTGTTCTTGACATATGGCTTACCAAAGATGTCATATATGACAAGGATTTAATTCGAAAAATAAAAGATACCTATTTTTCTCAGAGAACTGTGACAAATCCTTTAGAAAACAATGTGCATGAGTCTCAGTCGATAACAACATCACATGGAGGTGATCCGCGAATGGTTTCTGTGCCAAGTAATGTTTCGTTCATATAAATTGCATAAATCTAAAATAACTATAATGGACAAGACGAATCATTCGTGTGATCCAGCTCTGGTCTTAATAGTGTTCTTTTCTTTATCAATTATATAGATCAGCCAAGCATGTCGATGTCAACAACTTTGGATTCTTCAGCTTTATTAGCTACATTAAACAATTTAACTCAAGGAACTTTGAATATACCTCCTTTTTTGTCATCAAATCCAATAACTGCTGCTACAACGCAACCTATTAATCCATCCATCGCTTTTAATAATGTTGCTACTAACACGCATGCTGTTACTCCACAGTTTCCTAATATTCCACAACCTTCTGTTCCTACGAGTAATGGCTTTTTACAATCTCCAGCATCTTCATCTAATTACCAATCACAAACTGTCGCAAATAATACTGAAACAACTAAAACAAAAGAATCTTTAAACGATCCTCTTGATTTTGATTATGGAGATATGGATGAAGATGATGATGGAGACATAACACAATCAGGTGCAAATGGTGAGATAAATAATACTACTAAAGAGGCAATCCTGACGAATTCTATAAACGTGAAACCTATAAATGTGTAAGTAAATCGACTGATTTTTTGTGCATTGTGGGAAAGTGTGCGCTTTGCTTTTTTTTTAACCAGGTTCCGATAATTTCTTGAACTTTTTGCGATTTAATCATTTCTTCTTGAGATTCCTTTTTTTTTTTTTTTCGATTGTAGTTTTTTTTTTTCAATTGCAATAATGCAAAAAAAAGTAATCAGAAAAAAAATTACATATTACAAAGTAATATTTGTATCGGAAGTATGCACAATTGCTAGTCTGTAACTAGTTAATGTGGGAGAAACCGAAAACAATAAAAAAAAAAAAAGAAAAAAAATATATTAGCAGACTTCCTCTTAGTTCAGTGATAAGCTTTTTTAGAGTTTCACGTGATAATTAATTAGTTTTTCATTTGGGTGGTAATTTCCCGACAAAATAAAATATATAATGTTTCCCACAAATGGATTATATGGATTATGGACCTTATTGTTAAAATTCCCTACATTATTTGTTTTTATATTCATGCTTCATAATCTTTATAGAAATCAATCGGCAGCATCCGCAGCATCATCAATGCCTCAGGATCAAAACCAAAATATGGCCAATCAATATTTTCAACCGTCTCAAGGAAATCAAACTAATTCTTCACAATCGGTACCACCGCCACAACCACCGCCGCCAACGTCGGCTTCACCATCGCTATTAATTCCTGGCCAGCAGCAACAAATTCCTACTAATAATGCTATGGCACCATATCCGTTCCCACAACAACCTTGGACGCAGCAGCAACCACCACCACCGCCACCACCCGGAAACATACCGCCTCCTCAAAATCAATATCAACAACCACCACCATTTCCTACACAGCCATGGAATGGTCAACAAGGACTTCTTCCTCCTCAGCCATGGAACCCGATTCCTCCACAACAGCATGCACCGCCGGAACATTTTCCGAATAACCCGGCACCTCAAGGTTACCCAGTACCCCCTCCGGGTCACCCATTACCTCCTCCGGGTCATCCGTTACCACCTCCGGGACATTCTATGCCTCCAGGTCCACCACCTCCAGGACATCCTTTACATCAAGGTCCTCCGGGTCCACAACCAGCAGGTCTTCCTGTTCAACATCAAGGTCCTCCACCTGCACATATGTTACAACACCAAGGTCCTCCAGGACCACTTCATCAAGGACCACCTGGACCAAATCCTCAAGGACCACCTGGACATCTAGATCTTTCTGCTGCATTAGCACAAGACGATTGTATAGCGTATGCAGATCCGAACGTTGGAAGGGATTTTATTAAAGGTATGATCTATATATATATATATATATTATATATATACTGTTAGCTTATGAATTTAAATCGGCAATATAAATTTAATTTTTCTTTCTTTTTTAAATATATTTATATTTATATAGTTCTAAGTAGAACCCTTTACGTTGGTAGCGTAACGGAGGACTTGACCAAAGGTGTTATGGAAAAAATATTTCTTAGTTATGGCCGAGTATCTACTATCACGGTAATTTTATAAGATCAAATTATAATCAATTATAATTGGTAGGATTGGAAATTATATTTCATTGATATTTATTATACCGTATAAATACTATTTTTACACTTTACGTGATAGTATAATAATGTATAGTATTTAATAGTATAATATTTATTATTATCATATAATTTCCAACCATAATAGTTTACTCAATATCTAACAACATTAATTTAAATCAGATTAATTACGATAAAAATCATGCTTTCATTAAAATGGAAACACGAGCAGGTGCATACAGAGCACTTCAAGGTCTTAAAATGCAAGTAAGCCAGAAGGGTAAACAAAATTGCAAGATCACAGTGGTAAGCTTCAAATATCTGTATAGGATCTGTTATTGAAAATCGAGTCCTGGACTAAGAATAGACATAATAACGGTTGAAAATCAACCCCTTGACACATGACCGAACTTGATTTCGCTAAACAGATCTCACGTGATAACCTTTTAATTTATAAATTATAAATTAAATTCTAATAAATATTCTAACTTAAATTATAATTTAAAGGTACGTTGGGGTGTAGGTTTTGGACCTAAAAATTGCTTTGATTTTGACACTGGAGAATCTTTAATTCCTCTTAATAGACTTACAGAAACAGATCGTAAATGGTTGTTTACTAGTGAAAGAGGTGGTACTGGTGGAAGGGATATAGTTGGTGGAATTGTAGTTGAGGAACCGGACATTGTAATTGGTGAAGGGTTTTCAAGTGGTTCTGGAAATAAAAAATTAGGACCTCAACATGAAAGTACGCGTAAAGAAAGGCGCAGAGGACACGATAAAGGTGATCGATCATCTAATTCATCAGATTCTAGAAAGTATTCGGATGCATCCTGGGAAGGATCATCTCCCAGACGTCATGCAAGTAAATGGGGTGATGCATCAAATGACTCTCCTTTTCAAGAAACAGCATCTCCTCCTTCACAAGAACACTTGCCTTCGCAGCAACGCTCACATTCGTTTTCTCCAGGTTTATCACCACGAACTCCTGATCATTTGCCACAACCAGAATTCGGTACTTCTACTTTACCAACACAAGAACAACTTTTCCAGCAAAGACGGGAACAAACTCCACAACATACCCATAAAAGGGATTATTTTACTTCTCATGGAGATACACCAGCTCGTGAAGGTAAAAAAACTCGATGGGATAAATGAAAAATGTTAGCGATAGATTTATTATTAGCAATAGTATTTTGAGAATTATTTCAATTTTCTTGATGAAAGAACAATTTAATTTGTTTAAATGGATTACATTCATGAGGCCTTTTTATTTAGTTCGCTTATTCCTTTTTTTTATATATGTATAAAAAAAAGAAATTTTGTATATATTATACTAAAAAAAAAAAAAAAAATGACAAAAAAAATTTACAGCCTTTGTGATAATTTTTTTTTTATAGAAAGTTCCCAGAAAAAGAAAAAAAAAGATTTCTTTAGTAAATCAGCTTTTATTTGAATTGTTATAAAAACTAAAAACACGACAAATTTATATATCGATTTTTTAATTTTTTTTGTGAATAATAATATAGTTCTTGCTTTCAAAGCCTAAAGGTTCCGTTGGTCATATTGTTGAAACTAAATAATGATTTTTTAATACTTTTTTTTCGATTATTTAAATGGAGACCAATCGATTTTCAATAAATAAATAAAAAAAATGCTACCTTTGCATAATTGCGATTAATTTTTTTTTTAGATATATTATAAAAAAATTTTTTTTTTTGATTATCATTACAAACTATATATAAAATTTTTAAAATTATTTGGAATTTCAAAATAACCTAAAGTATAATTTTTTTTTTTTCTACAACAAAAATAAAATATAATAAAAAGAATGCATACATGCGGGTTATGTAAATCTATGTACAGAAAAAATTTTAATTTGAAATGTATATTCAAAATTTTCCATCAGTATCATTGTCCTATTGCATTTCTATTTAAACCTGATGAACCACTTGCCCATTCCAATCGTTTACTATATTTTTCGAATCTCATTTCAAAAGCAGAAAGAACTATATATATGCAAAGGAAATAGCGTGACTCGAATAAAAAAAAATTATTAAATGCTACACATAATATTTTAAAAAAAAATGAAAAATAAAAAATTTCATAGTAAGATTGGTCCACATTCCACCCTCAAGTAAATAGATTATTAGAGCACTAATCTTTTTAATTTTTTCAACACATCACCCAATATCCATCATCGTCATTCAACGAAGTGAGCCTTTCATCTATATGGATAAAGCAACGTGAATTTGAATTTCACACGACATAATTTATGTCGCAAAACCTTACCCAGTATTATGCTGGAAGACATTCTCTCGCTCAACTCTCATATTATCGCAGGTTTGTAAGGAACGAAAATGATATAAATAATCTAGAGTTCAATTAAAAGTTCTGAAATCGATTGTACAACGATTAAAGTCTTAGTAAGCTAAATATGGATCAGAAATAATGAGTATACTACAAGATACCATTATTTCTATTAATTCTTTAAATTCGATTAAAGAAATAGGAGATGGGCGAGGTTGAATGTCTATAAACATTAAAGACTGCGATGAAATCTATATATATAGGCTACATTGTTGATCTATGATGTGTTGGTCCAGAGAATGAAACATTGTTATTATTATCTTCTTCATCTTCTTCATTTATTGCATTTATTGGAAAGGTTAGCGCCGTACTGGATAAAGGAGAGTTAGTTTCTTCTGGCGTCATGGGTGCATCAGAAACAATATTTAATTCAGAGTTCGAAGCTGGTAGAAATGGAATCGTAGCAAAATAACTATTACTATCAGGATATACACCTACTATTGGCGCATCGTATAGTGGTGGAGCTGATGGATTAATAAGATTATTATTAATAATACTACTATAAGCCGGTGGAGGAGGAGGAATAGAAAAATTAGATGCACCAGCATCATATAATTCTACTTCTTCTGCTGGTGGAGCAGAAGGTGTTGCTATTGAAAGCGTATGATTTGGATATGATAGCACAGCTGATCGAGGCATTTTTGATTGTTTCGTATCAAGAGGAAATTCCTCATTAACATCATTAACATGAGGAAAACCAGCTTTCGAATCATGTTCCATCTCATTTAAGCTATCATTAATATTGTCATTAACGTTAATTATTGAATCAAAATTTGTTCTATCGATATTTGTTCTATCATCTGGCTCATCTCGCACGTCATCCGCATCCTTATCTTTATCTTTATCATTTTGTTGTTGACTATTTATATTTGCCGAACCATTATCCATGGAAGCCTTTTTATTACTGATCGCTTGTCCTCGTACTTTCCAGAATAAAAACCCTATTGCAATCGTTACCAAGACAAGTGAAGCACCAAGTGAACAGAGAACGACAATTATTTTTTGAAGAGTTTGCTCCTCCTCTTGAAGTTGTTCTTGTTGTGCCGTGTCATTTGCTGGCATATTATAGTCTGAAGACGTTGGTAAAAGAGTAGTAGTGGTAGCACTAATAGTATTATTAGTGTTTCCCGCTTGGTCGTCGTCTTTAGTGTGACCACTAATTTTTTTTGGTTTATTATAATCACTATATTCAGAAGAAGGATCGCCTGGGTCTACCGAAATTACAGACTTTTTCAATAGCTTGAGTAACTTAATGCCAAACTCTGTGGAATCATCTATTTCAACATTCCTTTTGTTTTTATCCATATTTGACCGGGTTAGAGAGGTCATCAGGGAGGAACTTCTTTCCAGCTTATTTCGTAAAAATACGGAAAATGCAGGAAAGAACATTCCAACAGCAATCGTTACCAAGGTAATAATAATAACGAAGCGACAAAGCTTCATTATTTTTTATTTGTATCAAATGCAATAATATGGAAATACCAATGTTATCACCTTTATAGATAAGAAAAAAATTTTTTTTTCACACCTCGTTAGAATTGGGATAATAATTATAAATATTAGAAAAATTTCGTTATTATTTCTCTTAACGAAAAAAATGAGTCGTTTCTTAAAAAGAAAGTAGTAAAAAGTTTTAATGATAGTTGAAAATGGATATAATAATGACTATGAACGGAACTGCATGTTTTTTCTTTATTTACGGGTTCGGATATCTGGTATGTGTGCAAAAAAAAAAATAACCATATAAAATTATTAGCTTCGCGTTATAACTATTAAGGAAATTAGTTTTTCCTCAATATTACAGTAATAACTCCAAACACCCATATCGGACACTTTGTGATTTGATAAAAAATCTATTTATAATAAAAATTATAAATTAAGCACATCCAGATCTTAATCCTGCTTTTCATTATCAAAATCATCAACGATAGGCTGTTCAACCCTTTTCTAGAAAATGTAAACATATCCCTTAACGTGTCAACATATAATATTTATATGTTACCATGATATTAAAAAATTGCTACAGTAAAATTTAACCGGGACAGTTCCGCAAAGCAAAAAATGTCTATATTTTAATTTGAGCCTATTTTTAGATAAAAAGAAGCCTCTATATAAACTTTAAAATTAATCACGTGACAGACGTCAACAATATTTAATCCCATCAATTCTTTTCTTTTCATAAATTAACTTTTTTTTCTTCAACACAAACTATAATTAATAATTCACCTTATACTATTATATTACATTACTCCATTTGTAACAAGTGATCATTTATACATCAGCCCCAGTAAGACAAAAATTTTATCAATGAAGATTTTTAGTCACGCCCCGAAAATACGTAATAAGTGTAACGTTTTATTGCAATTGCGGTCACGTGAACGTGTGTTCAGTGCAGGCGACGAACCATAATTTTGTTGTATTGTGCAAAGGAAAATAAAGATCCCTTTGATAGTAAACCCATAATTTTATCCAGGCGCAAACCACATGATTACTGAGTCAAATACGGTTTCATTTCAAAAACTTAACTGCCTATTATAAACGCAAAATGTATGCACTTTAACCAATTTTCCTTTTTACGATATAAGCCTTCGCTGTATACTATACTCGAAAGTTTTAAATTGGTAATGAATACAATAGGTTCGAGGTTTGTTTTGTTGCGACCATTTATGTTATGTTTTAATATCAGATATTCAAACCATTTCTGCGGGAATACCTATTATGTTTCGAAATACTTCCCTAGCATTTTTTTTTAGTTAAAAAAAAAAGAAGCAAGGTTCATTAATTCATAATTCATAAGCGGCTCTCCTACAAATTGCCATGCTTAACAGATTTGAAACATGCCTGGTACAAATCAAATCAAAGGAGTATCATGCACAATAAAACGTTAATTTTTGAAATTTTACATAGCATCCCATCCGGATAAAAACTCTCCGTAGCATAGATAGAATCAATTTTTTTGAAAAGGTATTTGGGAATTTTTATTATTAAGCTATTATAGATATATATGTTTATTATTATATATATAGATATACAGTATATTCAATATTTTAATCTAATAATTTATTTATTTAATCAATCACAATCACACCAGCGGTGTTCAACACCACATATATTTTTTAATAGCTCTGCTAGTAAAATTTAGGGGTAGGGCGCTGTTATAAGTAGGGATGTTACGATCTTTTGGACCAGTTCGGTCCTAAATTGAGGACCGGTCTGGACCAGTCCATAGTCTATGGAATGACCTTATTGGCTAAAAAAAAAAAATGTTGATGACCGTATAAATTTCCAATGACAGCCTAATTCAGTAACTTATTGATTTTTGATCGGTATCTTGTCAATTTGGTCATTGTAGTAATGCAGTAGAATCGTTCCAATGATGTTACGGTAATGACAAATCATTGGGATGATTCTACTGCATCACTAGGCATTGGCAATTTCTTCAATTGTCCCAGGATTTATGATGATACAGTAGCTATAAGGTCTTTTTATATGCAGCGATCATTAAAACCACAGCTTTTTTTTGAAAACCAGCCAATAGACAGATTTATGGTCCAGTCCTCTGGTAGGACTGCTCTTTGCCGGACCGGGATGGACCATAACCAGGGATGGTAAATGACCTTCAAATGACTTTCAAATAACCTCAAATGATCTCAAATGACTTCAATTTTATTATAAATTTTAGTTTGAAATGATCTAGGTCATTTGAAAAAAAGGCAAATAATCTCCAATTTTACTATTGCTGACCATAACATCTCTAGTTATAAGTTAAGAGTTAGTATTAGAAGTAAAGTTTAGATTTATAAAGCTTTTGGTGGTGCTAAACATTTTTTACTTAGAACACCTGGTATTAAATATAGCAACTGTGATGTTGAACACCACTGGTGTAATTTGTAAATAATTTATTAAATTTGACAATCCTGTCTTTATTGTTTCTAGAAGTGAGATATAATGTTATAGAACATGCTAAACATCTACATTAGCAAATTTTTAAACCTGTAATATTACGTAAGATTTATGATTAGTATGTAATATTATAGAAGATTTTAATAAATTGTGAAAATCTTCGAAAGTTATTTATAAAATGCGAAAACTTTTATAAGTAATGTTGTTCAGCATATCATTCCGGTCATAATAGTAGTTAAATCATTAAAATTGGTCCAATATTTGCCGAGATAGCCTAAAACACAATATTTCAAAATATTGTACAATATTGCACAATATTGTGTTATATTCAAAATATTGTACAATATTGCACAATATTGTGTTATATTCAAAATATTGTGTTTTAGACTATCTTGGCAAATATTGGACCAATTTTGATGATTTAACTACTATTATAACTGGAATAATATGCTAAACAACATTACTTACGAAAGTTTTTGCATTTTATTAATAACTTTCAAAGATTTTTGCAATTTTTTAAAATCTTTCATAATATTATATACTAATTGTAAATCTTACATAATATTATGGGTTTAAAAATTTGCTGATGTAGGAACATATTAGATATTTTAGCCCCAACAGATCTAAAAGGTTCTGGTGATCAAAACAAGCTATAATACATGATAAATAGATTGATGCATAGCCAGCAATAGATAAACAAAGATAAGCCAAGAATTGATAGACAATAAGAGCTGTGTTATTAATCACCTGATTATTTTTTATCAAAGGCCTACCCCTCTTCCTCTTTCTTAATATATAGATAGTCAAGTTCCTTATATATAATTTTAACTTTTTTTACTCCCTCTCCTCTTAAAAAATCACCTGATTTTTGCCAGCTTCCTAAGCTAAAATAGATTTACTACAATACTTAATGTTTTATTATATTTCTTAATATTTTTTTATATTTCTTAATGTTTCTTATTATCTCTTAATATTTCTTAATATTTCTTAATATTTTATTATATTTCTTAATGCTTTTTAATATTTCTTAGTGTATCTTAATACTTTTTATTGTTTTTTATTGTTTTTTATTATTATTTTTTTTTTTAATTTGACAATTCTGCCTTTATTGTATTAGAAGTGCATAATCAAAATACATAGTTTTCAAACAAAAAGCCTACAATAAACTCAATGTCTTCCACCCTTCTACTTTTCAATAAAAACTCACTCGGCTGCTTATAATGGTGCCCAAATATAATCTGCTGCAGCAATAATTCACTCCTTTCTGGCATCTAACTTACTAGATAACTCTCTGAAAAAATCACTGAAAGCTTATTGCTAGCTTTGTCAAGATTGCCTTTTTCTTAACATTTTTCCTTCTTTAAAGGGGTATACAACAAATGGGGGTAATAAAACAAAAATACAAATAAAACAAAAACGACAAAAACAAAAAGAAAAAACAAAAAACAAAGAAGAATATAGAGAAAGAAAACAAATACAAAAGAGAATATAAAAGAAAAAATTACAAAGAAAACAAAACAAAAAGAACAGTAGAAAATTTTGTCTTTTTAGCATTACTATTACTCGTGCTAGGCTAAAAAAAATTATATAACAATATTTCTTATTATTTTTTATTATTTATTATTATTATTATTTTTTTTTTTAAGCGATTATGCTATATACCCATGCTTTATTGATTATTAATTTACTTTGAAAAAAAAAGAATATATCTAAAGATTCAGGTATATAACTTACCTGATTACCTATATAGAATACCTAAATATTTATACACCTGTGTATGACTTGCCAAAGATGATTTTAGTCTCTCTGGTTTGGTTTAACCTATATCAAGCCAACCTGCTCTGGTTCACCAACTTGGTTCATCAGTCCATTATAATCATCTTTTTTCTTAACCTTCTTTTTCTAGCCTCCTAGATAGAAGAATTCTACTAAAGAATAACAAGAAATTTACGAAATAAAAGAAATAAAAAAAGTGAGAAATAACTAAACTAAACAAAAACAAAAAATCAAACAAAAGAAAAAAAAGAGAAAAGAAGAAAAAGGCTGAAAAAAAAACAGCCATGATGGCACTATTTTTGTCTATACGAGGCTATATAAATTATATAATATTGTATAGAATAAAATCTAACCTAACACTATATGAAAGGTGTAGTGATTTAGTGTAGTAGTCTAGTCATTACTCTTTCCAAGTGGCAGGTCTAGAGTTCGAATTCTACTGGTGACAATTTTGAAAAATAAACCTGTATACAGTTGACAGCTTTCTATCGGTTGGATCTAGATTAATTTGTAATCTTGGTTATACCATCTAGTAATGGAAGCTTCAGTGCAATAAATCAAGAAAACTAGAATAACCAAAAACCTATTTGGCAAGTCCCAAGTTTGGAAGTAATAGTGATCTATGACAGTATCACAGAAGGGTTGAATTTTGAACTGGGGTCTGAGATTAGAGAACTAAACAACTAGGTCCTAATGGCGAAGGACATATTAGCTAAACCACCGGGTTGTCGTATTAGAGAAAAAAGACATATGCTCTAAAAGTA